TTCTTGAGACTTCTCTCAAATACTGATCCTTTGATTTGCCGTCTTGATCAGTCACGTCATTGGGTGATAATTAAGAAATTATTAGTGATTTTATAAAACTCCAGTACAAGAAATGATTACAAACTTTAATAGATCTATAAAGTAAAATTTACTAACCACATGTATACTGCATATCCTGGCCTGTCTACTTTCCTCACAAAGTCCGATAAAAAGTCACCATTTACATCCTTTTCCTCCAGCCATGACCATTTGAACTTGTTCTTTACCTTTCCTTCTATGCTACGGATATCCGCCGACCTATCTACTTGTTTGCACATTTCATTTGATCTATTATCGCTTTGGTGAACACCTTTGAATAGATAAGGCTCTTCAATTGTCTCGCTCAATAGAAAGGTACACAAAAGAATGACTGTGTTTTCTAAAGAACATTTTCGAGATAAAATCTCGTTCACATGACACGAAGTTTGCATTATAAGCATACAAGGTCTCGTACACGCCAGCAAGCATTGCGAGACTACAAACTGGCGGCGCCCTGTCGCCGAATGTAAACAAACCGCGCAATTGCATAAACGCTTATCTATGGCATGGAACACCAAAATCCGATAAATAATTTTAAAAAATGTGTTTCTCAGGGTTTTCAGGATTTTTTCGAAATATCCGGATTTCCGGATATATCCGGAAGACTTTCATCATTATTAGTGAGGCAATAAATAAATTTGAGAAGAGGAAATGCCTAGACAGAAAATATCACAATTCTCATATTTGAGGAAATTCAGAATTATTTTTTAATATCTTCATAAAGTTATGAACTTAAACCTTACATACTATTAATATTTGGATTATTAGCTATGTTTTTATGCCAAATCTATTTGTATGCCATAAAAAGAAAATAGTTTAATTAAATTTTTAATGTAACTCACAAAAACCTCATGATGCAGAAAAAGATGCTCGTAGCGAAACAGTTGAACCTACTTGAATAACACTTAAGGTTAGAAAAATCGTAACTACTTCACCAACATTTTATTTTATCTAAAGCACCAAACACAATGAACAAACATACATACTAAACCACTATGAACACTTACTTGTTCTAAGAGTCTCTTCAGCCACCAGTTAGGTCCCATTAGTGTAACAGCACAAACAATTTTTGTGTGGAGAACTCCTAAAGCCCAATCCTACAAAATCATGAAGAACTTGAATTTAATGAGAAAAACTAAAAACTATAGCTTTAACTTTGCTAAAATCACTGTTAAAGAAAGTTATTTTTCACAATATGCAAATTAACATAACTAATCCAATAACTAAAGCAAGCCAAACTGGGATAGCTTCCAAAAGAACTAGAAATACAGTAACCAAATCTTCTAGGAACAATAGCCAAACTTAATATGGATTAACATTAAAGTACTTTTAAATTGAAACAGATATTAGCCTCAATATACAAACTACCAATATTCATCCTTTGCTAAGATGTAAGTTTAGTGTGTCCAGAATTATTTCTTCATATTTAAAGCACTCTTTCTCTTTCTAGGATTAGGTGAGGGGGTTTTACTTAACAGTACTTAACTTCATTGAATATAAACAGTATGTTTAACAAACTTTCAACCAAGGGGGTATGAATGATATTCCCCATTCACTTTATTTTCACAGTGAAAATACTTATCAAATAGTATGAAGACTGGCACAACCTTTTAAACAGAATGTAGTTTCTACTTTAAAAAACATAAAATTTGATTTAATATTTCTGAATTTTTAGGGTGTAAAATTTCTAAATGTTTTGAAAAACAAAAAATACTTCCCTTCATCTTAGACTTTATTGTGGGTCAGAAAGTTCCATTTCTTATATGCAATTAGTTTTAATCTTTCGTATATTCATTATCATATTCATGTTGATGTATTGTGCCAACTGAAGCAGTCAACTTCCTGCTATAAATCAAACAAAAACAAAGTTAAGACTGCCAGTTTTATGAAAGAGCAATGCCTGCACATTTGTTAGGCATTGTAGCATGGCATTTTGCCAACAATACATAAGCTCACTAGGATATATTAACAGTTTTGGAGCCTTGCCATGTCATTACAAGTTCATATCACCATATCCATCAGGTCATGCTCTATCTGATGATCATGCATCTGAACAATAGCACAGCAGCTTAGTTTCCACTGCAATAGACTCCGCCATAATGCTGTCATGTCCAAAGCAAACGTATCTTCCCTGCATGCTTTCCATCAGAGATGGGATCTCAAGACAAGGCTCAAAATCAAATTAACAGTCTTGGTATATCAGGTCTCAGTCTCAATACCATTTCTGCAAAGTGGAAAGTAACTTCACTGTAAAAACAGTCAGTTATATAACAACATGATTTATCTCATGGCTAGTGTTCTGGATCCAAATTGTGGTTTTTGATTAGTTAGATGTTAATCATCCAAGACTGGAAGAAGTAAAGTCTGCATTAAGGAATAGTATCATTGATGCTACTTTGAAAGAAGCAGACAGTCTTCCTAATGCAGAATTAACTTAAAGGGTAGCCAGTAGCACTACTGTATGACAGACTGATCAAAGTAAAGATACCCAGTCCACAGAAAAGCACTGGCTGGGGGCAGTTCACAAGATCACATTGAGAAAAAATATCACCAAGATTTCTCTCATCATTAGCATTTCAAAGATGCAACAACCACTTCTAAAGATGGCTGTCTTTCTTGATAATGTGCAAATAAGTGCCAAAAATAATGATAATGCTTTAAACTGCATGGCATAAATAGATATTTACTTGACATGCTATTGGATTTGTTGTCAAATTGAATTAATTATTATTAATAAGCAACAACTAAGAACAGTTAAATCTATTTAAATGAGAATAATCATCTTACTGTTAGTGTTGAAATTACATTTTGTTATTGATTAAATTTTTGTTGAGTATTAAGTACATGTCAATTAAAAATATAATTCCTTATCATTTTAAATTACATTATGTTACTTCAACCTCATTGAAAGTGGGTTTAATTGTTGTTAAATGTTCACTGAATGTCAATAATGATTACTTAATGTGACATACAAATGTGATTGCATGTCAATGGAATATCTATGTCATACAATTTAAAGCATTACCAAAATAATTGTTCTACATTTCTTTGTGGTATGTAGTCCTAAGTGGACCAAGTTGAAATATAATAATGTTAACAAAAGTTTTTACAATTCTTGAAATTATTGTTTTGAATGTTTATATTGCAATAGATAGCTTATTACTTTTATTGATCAATGTATAGCCATATGATAGATATGTCTATAACAACAAAACATTATATTTGAACACCAGCATGAAAGACCTTTAATTGGTAATTTGCAGACAATTAGTCTGGCAAGTACAATATTAACTGTACAATGCAAATCTGATAGGATAATGCTTTTTCTAAAGGTTAGGGTATGGTTTGTTGAAGGTCTCTTTCTAGATGGTCCTGGATTCCCAAACTGATCCATGCTCTTCTGTTTTCCAATGTTATTATGTACAAGGGATGTCCTCATCTTGGAATTTCTAAATCCCCAATCTGAACACATCTTTACAGGTATTGGTATCAACACCATCTTTGCTTTCTATAAGCCATCTAGTCTACAAAAACATTAGTTTCCGAGTGCCCATTTGAAGAGTCCAATCATACAGAAGTCCACAGGTGCTACACCTGGCAACTTCACCAGTATGTCCTTGTATGGAATAACTTGAATACCGACTACATTCTCCAGCTTCTTGAGATATGCACTGGTTGAACAGATATGTTGAGGGAAGACTTTATGGACATAAGACTTATGCAACATTTCCAGACGAAAATCCTTTTTATGATGTGTACTGTTGCCTGGGGAATATGGATGGCTTTTGCCACTAAAAACTTTGTTCATGGATTTCCACCTCTTACAAAACACAGTATTTTGCTTATTACAGCTAGGGTATGAATTGTTGCAGGTCTCTTTCTTGATGGTTCTAGTTCCCCAAATTAATCCATGCTCCTTTGCTTCCCAATGTTATTATGTACAAGGAATGTCCTGATATTAGAATTTCTAAATCCACGATCTGGACACATCTTAACAATCTGAATGTATAAATATTTTGAATCAGAAAATACTATTACATATCTTCCAAAAAGAATCACACAACCTACAAAACATCAACAATGTCAAAATGTTGTTCTGATGCATTCTGTTCCATTGCAAATTTATATTTGGCTGTGGTTGTCATGTCGTTTGTACATTTTCTTATTCAGAACATACTCAATGCTGTAATTTTTGTCAAAATCCATTTATATTTAATATACAGTTTGTTTTCAATAAATAAGAGAATCTTGTATTCATGTATGTTGTTGGAATACAATAAGCAATAGGATTTTTGGATCACTGAAATAGTTGAGCATCACAGGCCTATCTTACCACTCTTGCCAACCCTAAATATCATTATCTGATATCTTGTCACAGAAAATTAGTCATGTTTCTTTCAAATAAAAAAGAACAATCCAAAAACATCATCTGGAACAAACAATGCCCATGATCAGGAACTATTAAAAAATAATTGATTTCCATACAGAAAGACTGTAGTCTCAATTATAAAGCATGAAAGTTTAGAGCTCTCCCTTCCCCCACTTGTGATGGTTAATAATTTCAGGTTGCATCCCTTTACCAAGCTGAGAAACGTTCTAAGTTTGATCACTCTCTGGGTTGAGGCTATAAGTTGACTTCAACCAATAAATTCATAGTTGAACAAATATAAAATCTAGAAGTCAGACATTCAGAGTAAGACACCTAGGGGTACAACAGAAATAAAAGTTTGAAGATTTTTGTAATTTTTATGCATGTTACAAACCAAATAAACATTATATAGTGTTAAAATAAAATTATACAATATTTTTGGTTAAAACACTTTTGAAACAGAAATGAAATTAAATGTTCTAATTGAATTTTCAATGTTGAGTTGCAATTGAGCACTTAGAAAATGACGTGAACACTCACCTGTCCAGAGTTCACTAGAAAAAAGAAGTACTACTATTTATTAAATATCTAGTGAAGATGATTCTAAAAGATGCTTTGTTTGTGTTTAGTTGGTGATCTGCACTGTACCCACCACAGATATCAAACACTGATATTTTAGCTCTAAAAGATGCTTTGTTGTGTTTAGTTGGTGATCTGTACTGTACCCACCACAGATATCAAACACTGATATTTTAGCTCTAAAAGATGCTTTGCTTGTGTTTAGATACAAAGCTACATAGTTGGTGATCTGTACTGTACCCACAACAGATATCAAACACTGGTGTTTTTAGCATTATAAGCCCTCAGAAGGGCTGATTTTAAAAAGGGAAAGTAAACTTACCTGCCAAATATACAGAATAGGTGTTTGGTGTAAGGAAACTCTTAGTGGAATGATAATGACCAGGTCAAACAACAGACCCATCAACAGAGGAATCACACCAAGGAGGACACTGGTAGCAAGAAGAGACTTGGAGGTCTGGAAATAAAAACAAAAACCAATTAAAAACTTTATATTTACAAGTAACAAAAAGCTGTTTTTTAAATCAAGTATTAATTTAACTGAATTTATAACAAGACAGTTATTCTTAGAAACTACTGTATATTTTGTACTTTATGATATTTCTTTTATTTTATAACTGCTTTTCCAAAGTTATTTACTTTATTTTCAAAAGTACATCTACACAATCTATTTCACGTATCAAATATCAATACAAAATTTATCACAGCAGATCCATTTCAGTCTTTCTAAAAGTTGAGAGTAGGCTAAAAGTATCAAAACATATATTAATTATGTGACAAGGTCTAATCAGTATGCTTAAATAAAAGATATTATTACTGATGTGACAGCAGAAAACTGTAATATTTCACTTTTCCAAT